TACTGCATGAGGATATCAAGAGCATAGCCAAGGCCTGGGATAAGCAAGGAAACTGTCCAGCATTTAGACCTAGGCATCTTTTGGAAAAATACTCCAGGTTGTTAAGAACACTGAGCAGCACTAGGCCATCTCTACATACCACATTTGCTAAAAGGGGCTCCTACAGAAGCAGAGCCTTGGATTCTCCAATAAATGAGAAGACACCACTTAACCCCAGCCAGCACTGCATGTGACCAATTGCGGTCCTCCCTTGCAACTTCAAGCCTCCCATGTTGCTGCATGACATTTCCAGACAGAGTTAGCGGGGCTCGGCTACCCATTTCCAACCATATTCAGTCCCAGCATTTACAGCACTTGTGATTGAACCATACAACGCTGGTGTACACATGTTCATATCAGAGCTTGATAGATAAGACTATTGATCCTGAAGGGAAATGGATATCCTATCCCTCAACTTGATAGCCAAGAGAAGCTCCTGTGTCTTCAGCAATACTTACAGAAAGTTTTCTGGCTGCTCAGTGGAGGGATGGTCCTGGTGGTGGTTTTGCCTGAAATTAAAAGGCAGAGGTTGGGAACAAAGCAATTCAAAAAGGACAGGAGTGAGGTGTAGCAGTTTCAACCCTTTTGGGGAACATGTGAAGAAGCAAAAGGTCTCAGTTCAATCCAGGTCCCAATTACCTGGGTTTCATTAGTACATAACCAGGAATTAAGCATTGATGGAGCTTCCAGTAGTGATCCATTGCCTTATACACAACACCAATACAAGGGCTGTCTAGGACCCTAGTAAGAAGCCCAATGGAACATACTTTTAAACAAACAGTGGCCACAAGTGACGATTGCCAAAACGTTACAGGCACAACCGCGGGTGAACTCCAATTACTCCACCGTTGCATTTCAGTTAAAAATTGAACAATTGCGAGTCACTCCGATTTGTCATGAGACACCTACACTAAAAAAAAAAAAGAAAAGCGAGCTCAAATGTTGGATTTTAACGGGGAGCCCCATTAATTCTGAATACTCCTGGAGCCCCCGTGGCTGAACCCAAAGCTTTTTCTTATACCAGAAGCGCCGTTCACGACGACCGTTTAAAAGTGCGTCAATACTTCAGTCACAGCAATCGTACAGGACCTACAGTACCACCACGGTCCTCAAACATATTTGTCCGCTGAAGACAGCGGCGCAACAGAAAGAGGTTCTCTATACGCGTATTGCTTTAGCTGAAACAAGCAACATGCTTGGGGCACAACATGCACATAAACCAAAAGTGTTTGTATTCGTGTTAAAATAGCGGAGTCAGTCCAGCAATATTTTCCTGACAATACAGTTAAAAAATAATAATAAAATAACCACCTCACCTATAACTCAAAGGAACCCCCCCGTATAATTCTAGCCTTGTGAAGCTGCCTTATAAAGGGATTAAGGACACTCCAGTTTTTAACCACACTTAGACACACCTGGTTTCGATTGTTCGTAACTCACAAGGTATTTGTTTGCTGGCGAGATGGTATTTACCTGAGCTAATCTATCAGTTGCAAACCTTAAGTGAACGTTTTGGAGACACGATCAAAGTCACACCGCATTCATTTTGTAGGGCATTAAATCGCGGCAATAAGTGGTTTTCTTTTTAAAAAAAAAATTAAATTCGACAATTAAGTTGGCTCCACCGTCATTTACCTTCAGATTCACAACACTGCTACGAGGAAAGAAGAAGCTTAGATTGCACTGAATTGCTCTTCGGAAAAACACAGAAAAGCTTCGGAATCAAAGTGAGATTTAAATGTGAAGTAGTATTAAATATCAGTAGTAAAATTCACCCAATATAACAGGAACACAGCATCTCAGTCCATGTAGGTCCTATACATAGGATTCTACTAAGCTGCAAAAACCAATAATTAAATGCAGTGTTTATGTGCAAAAAATACATTATTATTACTTACAAGGTTTAATTAAATATACAATTAAATATGAACATTTAAAGCCCTGTTTATTCAGCATGATATTTACTGGAGCAATTGAGCAACCATGTTGCTCATCCATAAGTTGTCCAACCCAATAACATCATATGAAGCCCTCATATTAAAGACATATATCATTTTCAGAGTTATGTATAAAAACAGTTTAAATGTTTATTTCTGACTACAATAATTCAAGTTTCCAAAAATTCTCAAATTACATCAAGTAATAATGAACTTTTGATCTAGTTCAAGTAGGTAGCTGCGTCAACATGCATAGGCTTTAAAGGAACATGAAAAGGTTTATTCCATGCTGAAAAAAGAAAAGATACACATTGTTTCGGCTACAGAGCCTTCTTTAGGTGTCGTCTTTTTCTGGTACGTAAAGACACCTGAAGATGGCGCCACAGCCAAATCATTGTGACTCCTTTCTTTTTTTTCAGAATGGAATAAACCTTTGCCAACATTTGACATACCTACTAGAAGAGGGATGTATTGTCTTTATTACAGTTTCAATAAGGCAGGCATTAGTATGTTCTAGTATGTGACAACAAATATTCCCTACATGAGCGAAAAACAATGTGAATTCATGCTGTTGCTGTGTTGGTTTTCCATTATCATTGCACTTCTGATTAGATTAATTTGATTTGATGTGTTCAGAAATTAGAATAGCAAAACTGCCATGTTACTGGTTAATTATTGTTTTAGTTCTCTGTTAATAATTTTTTTGGTTCATATTTAAAGAGATGTTTGTCTATAAATCAATCAATCAATCATATTGGTTCTGTCCGTGTATTTTGGCAGACTTTTGTTCTTTCGTTATGTATTGCTTAATTTTTCACTTCAAGAGACAACTTCAAAACAACTGTGTACATTATTACCTCTAGAAGTTACATGGAAATATAATCTTGTTTCTCCAACTGCAGTTGTTTCAGAGATACTGTACATGGGAGAATGTGGCAGGAAGAAAAATAGCAAGGCAATTCATTTTACATCATATCGTCTACTTTTCTATTTTTGCTTCATAATTGACTAAATGGTGGTGCAGTGATTAGGAGTGCTGGGGCTCTGCATGCAGTTCTGGACCTGGAGTGCCCTCTGTGTGGAGTTTGCATGTTCTCTCCTTGAATGTGTGATTGTCCTCCAGGTGGCCCTCTTTCCCCAGTCTTAAACCATCCTGGTAGGCTTATTGGCACTGGTGTGAGTGTGTGCATGTCTGTGTTTGTGTCTGTGTGGACCCGGCAATGGACTGGGGTCCCACCCAGGGTATGCCCTGCCTTGTGCCTGTTGATTTCTGGGATAGACTCCAGCTACTCCATGACCCTGAATTCCAAGAAGGGGTTAGAAAACTCATGGGTGGATGAGTAAATGGTTCATTTAATTATTTTTTATCTTAAATTATTCGGCAACACCGTGCTGTTTGGTCCTTTGTTGTAAATCTGCTAAAGGGGAAATTTACAAAATTGAAATTAATAAGTTGCTCGTCAGGAGCTGTGTTAGCTTAGATGGTAGGGGTGCCGAGCTCCAGACTTAAAGGCCCCGGGTTTGATCCCAGGTAGGCACAAGCGATGTAGCTTGCTCTAATTCCTTTCAGATGGCTCCCAGGTCCACTCAGCCTGATTTTCAAGTGAGCACTGGGGGTTAATCCTCCCAGGGGCAATAGGCCTTACCCCTCCATTCCCCCAAGGGCTTTTATGGCCTGAAAAGGGGACCTAACCTACCTACCATGTTGCTCTACAAGCCCCAAACAATAGAAATATAGGGTCCATACAAACTTTATGGCATTAATTGAATTTAATTGTTCAAATGACTTTTAAATCATGGATGAATGACTAAATGGCTCATTTCATAAATTTCTTATCTGAAATTATTCGGTAATGCTGTGCTGTTTGGTCTTTTGCTGTAAATCTGCAAAAGGGGAAATTTACAAAATAGAAATGAACATGTTGCTCTACAAGCCCCAAACAATATAAACCTAGGATCCATACAAACATTACAGAATTAATTGAAATTAATTGTTCAAATTACTTAGAATTGTTGTCATACCTTTGCTAATGAAATCAAACTAGGCTACATGTGAATCCAACTTCCCTGTAATGTTTATTTAGATGCTTTTATGTAGATGTTTTGTTACTCTGATTTAATGAAAAATAGATCTTACTCTATCTAAATAGATAGAGTGTTATTACCACTCCCGAAGATTTCAGGTTTTGAAGTGCTGGAACCCTGATCTAGCTAAAAGGAAGTCCATACTAACTTAAGGGTGAAAAACTGCATTGTATAATTTGCTTAATGCCAAATCATAGTGACTGGAGTGCCAAACTCTCGGTCCTTCCCATTGGTCAGCCAGATCCTCACAGCATTTACCTTCAAGCCCCCTACCCACACGCCGATCTTCTCCAGCGTGGCTCCATCATTCTGGCCATCAAAGGAAGCATTGCCTCCATACCTGAAAATTATATGCACAGTTGTTGGGTAAGCCATGTAGACCTGGAAAGGAAAAGGGACATTGGTACTGCATGAGGATATTGAGAGCATATTGAGAAAACAACGTTTCGGCCATGGAGCCTTCTTCAGGTGTTCAGGTGTTCTTCAGACACCTGAAGAAGGCTCCACAGCCGAAACTTTGTTTTCTTTCTTCTCTTTTCAGCA